CCAGGGAGCGGAGGGGACCAATGTGCTTTGGAGCAACTGGCCTCCAGGGCTCCTCTACGCCTTTCCCCCCTCTTCTGATCATTCTGGCCATAATTCAGAAGTTGTTAGAGAAAAGGCAGAGCTAATTCTCCTGGCACCCTATTGGCCCAGGAGACCCTGGTTTGCAGATCTGGTGAATCTCTCTGTAGATCAGCCAGGGAGGATCCCGGCCAACAGGATCATCAGGGAGCCTTGCTCTACCCAGACCCTCAGTGGTTCTGCTTAGCCATTTGGTGCTTGAGCGGCAATCTATGAGGAATTCCAACTTCCCTGACAGGGTGATTGATACTATACAGGCTTCCCGAAAACCTTCCACCACGCACATCTACGATGCTACCTGGAAGGTCTTCTGTTCCTGGTGCACTAAATCGGCATGAGACCCCTCTTCAGCATCTGTTTCAGAGGTGTTAATGTTTCTTCAAGATGAGCTCGATCAGGGAGTCTCACCTAACACTCTTCGCTGTCAGGTAGCGGCTTTGTCTTCAGTTCTATCCTGGGAAGGTTATGCTTCCTTATCCCATCATCCTTGCGGGTTCTTGAGGGGGGCGGCTAACCTTTGACCTCCAGTTGTACATAGATTTCCCACATGGGACCTCCCTAAAGTTTTGCAGGCTCTTACGGGTTCCCCATTTGAGCCCCTTAGATCAGTGTCTCTCCAATTGATGACCATCAAGGTGTTTTTTTCTAGTGGCCATTACCTCGGCCAGGAGAGCGTCGGAACTAGCGGCTCTCTCCATCAGACAGGATCTGTGTGTTTTCCATGAGAACAGGATGGCTCTAAGGTTAGATCCTACGTTTGTTCCTAAAATAAACTCTTGGTTTCACTGAGCGCAAGACATAGTGTTACCAGATTTCTGCCCCAGGCCACAACATGAGTTGGAACACAAGTAGCATACGTTGGATGTAAGGCAGGCCCTTCAGATCTACATCAAGTGGACGGCTGCTTTTCGAAAATCCGAGGCCATGTGTCATTTCATCCCACATCCTTGGGGAACAAGGTGGCTTCATCGACAATTGGTAGGTGGATTAGAACATGCATCTCCAAAACCTACCAAACTTTGTCCCTGCTGTTCCCAAGAACATCATGGCTCACTCCACTGGGAGTGCTGCTACTTCTGCCACCTGGTCTTCTCAGGTGTCGCTGGAGGAAATCTCCAGAGATACCTAGGCGTCTCCTTTAACGTTTATACAGCATTATCGCCTGGATTCCTTCACTTCGGCTGAGGCCTCGTTTGGAAGGAGGGTGCTTCAGAAGGTGGTACCACAGTCGGAGTGATTGAACCAGACGTTGGTCCTCCCATGGACACGCAGGCTTTGGTATGTCCCATTCCTGGACTCTCGTCCCAGTGTGGATGAGAATGGGCATTGGTATAATTACCTGAGAACGCTCTTTCTATCTACACTGCAAGAGAGTCCTGCCCCACCCTTATACATCTGGTCCTGATGGAGGGGTGTGTGTTTTTTCGTATTAATGATGCATGCATAAGACATGCTTTTAGTGGTATGCTGTTTGGGAATGTGAACATTCATACAATTTTTTTTTTAGATGGTGCTGTGTTGTTTGTGAACCTGAATATTTACAGCAAAGGTTAATCTGAAAATGAATGTCTCATTGGTCAAGATAATTGTGTCCATCAAGTAAATGAAATGCACAATAGCCACATTTGTTTTTACAAATGATGAAAAACTGGAACATGTAAATGAATTTATGCATCTTATAGGAAGTAGAAAAATGAATGGATAAATTTTAAGACATAAAGTTGGGTAGAAAAGTGATGATTAACATGTAGTTTGTTGCAAAATAGGAATATTTGCTTTTTAAAAAGTTTTTAAAAGCTGTACATGAGATCATGCTTCTGCATCATTTTGTATATGGAAGTGAGAGCTGAGTATTCAGGAAAAATATAAAAATAAACTGAATCCAATAAAGAATAGGATACTTAGGTGTTTGGGTAAGCAGAACTGACAATGAACAGTTGCTGAATTACTATGGACTGAATACAAAAGTGAATGGCCAATATGAAAAAAGTAGGTTGAGGTAGTTTGGTTATGTAGAGAGAGGGAATGAAGATTAAATAACAGATTTAAGTACATGAAGATATTTTAGATGTATAGAAATCACTAATAAAAATCACCTTATAATGCTGTATTTATTAATATAAAAATAATATAACATTATTCTGTTGTAAAATTTTATGAAATATTTACCAAAGAAAAATATTACTTCATTTTCAGATTATTATATGATATTGAGTCATTGCCAACTAATTACTATGTAGGTTTTTTTGCAACATCCCCAGGATCATGTGGTCAAATACTTGGCAACTGACTCATATTTATGACTGTTGATATGTCCCAAGGTCATATGACCCCCTTTTATGACCCAAAAGTGTTTTTAAAAGAGGCAGCTAGACTTTCTTCACCTTTGGAACAACCATGACCTGGATGACTCAGACTCTCTATAGACATTCCCCTTTTATGATCTCTGACAAGCAAGTCCTTTACTGTTGATTGATTCTAAAAGGCAGAAACTGTTCACCACTTCAGTATCTTCATTGTCAGTTCTAAGGGGGTTATTTTATCTGTTGTCATTAGTTGAGTCTTCATATTTAATTCTGCTAGTATTGTTTTTTTCACTGTGCTGCTTAATTTTGTTACTAGAGATTGCAGATAGTTTCAATTATCAGGATAGTTATCAGCATAACATAGGTTATTGATGTTTCTTTCTACAATTTTAAGACTATGTTCATCTTCTTGCAAGTTTCTGTTAATTATATATTGAGTTTACGAGTGTATCTATATTTGTTGTGTTCCTTTGTCAATCTAGAGCTGGTATGCTTAACCATATTCTGTAGCTATCTAAGTTTCTCATGAGGACAATGAGACATTCAGGATTCTCCTTTTTTCTAAGCACATTCCATAGCGTGATGTGATTGACATAATCAAAGGTCTTTCTGTAATCAATGAAACACATAGTGACTTATTTTTTGTATTCTTTGGCTTTCTTAATTATTTAGCTTGAAGTAGCAATAATGTCTTGTGTTCCTTTGCCTTTTCTAAAGCCAGAACATCTGTCATTTTTCCCATATAAAGCTCTAATCTGCATTGGATAATCCTAAGCATTATTTTTCTAGTATGTGAAATTAAAGATATTGCACAATAGTTTGCATATTCCATTACATCTCATTTTTTAATATTGAAATGTAGGTTGATCATTCTCTAGATTTGCTAACATAGCTTGGTTATAATCTTTACTGTTGTTTCCCATATTTTTGTGGATATTATTGTAGCCTTCCAATTTAGTAATGACCAGAGTGCTGATTTAACTTCAAGTACAAGTACAACCGGTAGTACATTCTTAAAAGTAGGGAATATTTTCTAGAGTATCTTATATGTTGACTTATCTGTTCTAGTGTATTGAAATGCACTCTTTCCATTGTTGTTTGATCATCTTTGAACTGGTTCCTATCTGTCCTTGGTACTCTTTGGCATACCATTTTGAGCCTTCTCTTGAGTTCAGAGATCTTTTCCTTGTTTTTCCTTGGCTGTTTCCATCTTGTACAGTATATTTTTACAGACATTGAAATACTGCTTGTCTTTTTAAACAGCTCTCTGAAACCCGTTGTTCTTTTCTGAGATTTATGTCTTCTCTTCTTTGCAATTTCCAGTTTGTTCTGCATCTAGTTTGCTTTCTTATGTCCTTCATTCTTATCTCATTCCTCCTTAGTCACTTTAAGTGCTTTCCACAATTCCCCTGGTTCTCTATGTGAGATTCAGGACTTCAAAGTAATTCCTGATGTTCTTCTTGAAATTGGTGGGTATATGTTCAAGATCATAATGTGGAAATTGATTGTTTTGTTCTGTTTTAGCTTATCAAGGAAGATGAGCAGTTTGTGATCTGTTCCATAGTCCTTTTCACAACAGTTATTTATTTTCTCATTAATAGAAAAAACCTGTTAGTTTTTTAAATGTTTGTGGTATTTTTTATTTAATTAACCACCGAGAGTCATTGACAGAGATGTATGGCTATAGAAAATGAATGAATTAATGAGTGAATGAATTAATGAATTTTAGTAGTTTTAATGCTTTCTACTTGGCTCTTTAGAACAATGGCATATGCATGAATTCAGCTTGGCTTTTGTTTATTTAATTTAAGCATATTCTTGGAGTATTGTAACCATGGTTGGCTACAAAATATTTGCAAATGCTGCTTTTTTCAAAACTCCATCCTTTGCTATTGTTATAGTCCATAGTATATGTGCCTTTGATGATTGGTAGGTTCTGTGTCACCCCTTTACATTGAGTCATTTGGGAGAAGCAAGGTATGCATATATACAGACAGAGGGGGGAAGATATTTGTCATAGTTGGCAGACGTCTGAAACATTTTTATAATCGTTTTGTTAAAAACTTTATCTCATGCCTTAAAGCTAGTTCTTAAAGGAAATTTAATGTTTGCTTATTTCTGTTTTCAAATAAGTTTGGTGTTTTAATATTCTTAACAGAGTAGTTTGTGGCATTTTCTGTTTCTGACTTTTTTGATTGTATATTTCAATCAATCCACTTTAATCTTATTTTACAGATTATTATTATGGGGAAAGACGAGGAAAAGGGACTCTGTATGTTTGCCACTTTGAGTTACTTATAAAGTAATAAGGGTGGAATAAAAAGTCTGATGATTTGGGGCCAGTTTCTTTCTCCCAACCTGCTTACCGGGTTTTGTGGGGAATATAGCAGGAGGAAGTAGTATTGTATGTTCACCACCTTGAATTATTTACAAATGCAATAAAGATGGATATAAGTGAGTAAATAAATATAATTTCCACTCTCTGTCTTTATCTAAGCACAGGTGGACTTAGAATACTCTCTGGAACTGAAAAAAATTACATAGCAGGATACCATCTTGTAATTGTAGAATTGTGTAAGGTATAAACATGTACACAAGCTCTGTTGTTATTTATAGGTGCTGTTAGTTAGCAGTAGTCGTCATCCTGACAGATGGATTGTCCCTGGAGGAGGAATGGAGCCTGAAGAGGAGCCTAGTGTGGCTGCTGTGCGAGAAGTTTGTGAAGAGGTATGTTTTCAAATTCTGCTTGGATCCAAAATTGTCTATTCTTTCTATTCATTCCTTTCACATTCAAAATTGTCCAAATATTAATTGTATAGTACAGATAGTGATCAAGTTACAAGTTCATATAATAACTGGTCAAAAATTTACAATGGCACTTGAAAAAAGTGTCTTATGACCATTTTTCAGACTTATGACTGTTGCAGCATCCCCTTGGTCACGTGATCCAAATTCAGATATTTGGCATTGGTTCAAATTTATGATTGTTGCAGTGTCCTGGAGTCATGTGGTCACCTTTTGCAACCTTCTGAGAAGCAAAGTCAATAGGAAAGCCAGATTCATTTAACAACCATGTTCCTAAGTTAATCACTGCAGTGATTCACTTAATTGTAACAAGAAAGGTTGTAAAATGGGGAAAAACTCACTTAACAACAGCTTTGCTGGCTGGGAAATTCTGGGAGTTGAAGTTCACCAGGCTTAAAGTTGCCAAGGTTGGAGACCCCTGCCCTAATATTCTGCGTGCATAAGCACACCAAAACGTGCCTACCGTCCCTGTCCTATTGTTTCTTTTTTTCTTATTCGTATCCATTTCATGTATTTATAACCATGTTTATACTTATACCTGTTATCTAATAATTGTTTGACAAAATAAATAAATAAATAAAATAAAAATAAAATATATTGTTTTCATGACAATTGCCTATAGAAGAGGAGGAAAATCCATTTATCTTGAAAAATCACAAAATAATTTGCTTTGGTATACTTTTGTGATACTTTATAAATGTGATCCTCTTCAAATTTATCTTAACTTGTCTAGTCCTTTTAAGAAATAGGAATTGCCAGCAATTTTATATCCGAGGAGAATTAGACTGTAGGGCATGGGACCAGTTTCTTTAAAAAAAGTGCACCTCCCCTTTTATATCTACTCATCTCTTCTGGTCCAGCAGGATGGGCATGTTACACGTGCTTTACGCTAAAAAGAAAAGAAGACTAATATTGTTAGTAGACAGGCAGTTTAGTGAACTTATCTAGAAATTGCTTCTGCCATCACTGCCAGCATATTACTATAGGAATCTAGGATAATTTGCCACAGCCAGCTAACCACTGCTAGCTCGCCACTGCCAACTCACCTCTGCCAACTTGCTGCCAAGTTGCAGCAGAACAACTCCACATGGGCAACTCACCACAGGGACATCGCCACACATAGCCAGAGGCAAAGCCATTGGGCAAGGAAGCAGGTGGGCAGAGTACAGAGTGCATCAGGGTGGTTGGCAAGGAAGTGGCAGTGGCTGGGTTTTTTTCCATTTTCAAAGCCCCCACTACTGCTGCTGTGGGCATGGAGCCATTGACAATGCTGTCACTGCAATGGGCTTAGAGCTGCCTCCATGGCTACTGCGACACCAAGCCAGTGGCAGCATTGATGGTGGAGGCTCCATGCCTAGTGTGGTGGCAGCAACATCAGCAGCAGTTTCTGTGCCCTGGCATGGCAATGGCATCATTGACATCAGCAGTCTATGCCTGGCACGGGGGTAGCAACATCAGCAACAGAGGCTTTGCACCCTGCATGGTGGCAACAACATCAGCAGCTGCACCATACCTGACGCAGCATCAGCATCAGTGGTACCGCAGCAGGCTCAGAGCCGCTGCAGCACCATGCTCAGAACCTGGCACATCGACGGTATGGGTGAAAATGGGAAGCCCCTGGCCGCTGCCACCTATCTGCTGCTCATCCCGGCTGAATGACAGTACCAAACAACAATGTGCAGCCAAACTTTCGAGGATCTACCTGACCAGCTGGAACAGCTTGTGATCAGACGTGAAGGCAGGGGCCAGCAGAGGAGGCAAATTTCCACCGGGAGAGATCGTGAAACACGAGCTTCTAGCCTGTCAACTTTTGGTTTAACCCAGTTGTTGGGAGAATATTCTTCTCCCAGGAGAAGGCGATCTACCACTGTGGGAGATCTGGAATAATGTCAGGTTTCCAAGTGATGAAATCCATTTAAAAAGAAAAGAACAAATCCATCTTCCAAGACAATTTCTTTTATTTAGGAAAGCATCAAATTGGCAAAGTCCATGGAAATTCTGGATCTGACACACCCACAATGTTAAAAACAACTTCCAAAAGTCACATTCTCCAATAGAAGTAATTCAACATTGCTTGATGTCATAAATCTGCACTTCAAGGGGCCCAAGCACAGACAGCTCGTCCCACGGGAAGAAGAATCACCTATCCAAAACACTCTCTTTATCTCCATTCCTCCCCCTTTAGGAATGTGGCAAGCCCAAAACCCTTCCCCCCATGACTTCCACAGAGAAAGTAAGAAAAAGAATATATACTAAGCCTAACTAAAATGGCTACACATATGTCAATTTCAGGCTTGACAGATTGCTGCTACTGCAGTTCCCAGCCTCTTCTGCTTGGAGTCTGGAGGGAGGGGGGCCCTGTGAAAATGGGATGACCTCAGCCACTGTTGCCTTCCCACTGCTCTGCACTCTGCCCCCCCCCCCCCCCGCTCACTTGCTTGCGCTCCCTGCTCTCTGTCCACCAGTGGCGAGATCTCCCTGCGGAGATTTGGCTGTTTGGAGTTGTCTTGCAATGACTTGGCAGTGGCGAGTTGACAGAGGCAACCTGGCTGCAGTGAATTGTCCCATCTGCACTATACAGCATCTGGCAAATGAAAGAGTTTTCATATACATTTTTGATGTCAGATATTGGAACCTGGCATATAAGATCATTCATTCATCCATCCACCCATTCATTCATCCATCCACCCATTCATTCATCCATCCATTCATTCGATTATAAGGCTGCCCATCTTTAAGGACACCTGGAGAAGCCTAGAACAACAGTAAAGCCCCCAAACCACTAAAACCATAATATAAGTGTTGGCAATCCCTATACTATTTCCAGAAATACATTTAGCAAAGAGAGGTGGTGGAGAAATCAAATTGAAGGCTCCCTGTTCTCCAAAATTGGAGGCGAGAACTACCTTTAGAGTTCACTGAATGTTTTAAGAAAGCTCATCAATTTTTGAGAATAGACAGTACAAAATTTGAAGAAAAAAAAAAGGCTCGGGATTAAAAAAAAAAAAAAAAACTGGGGAAGTGCACTACAAACCTCCACTTAAGAGACAAGACCTAATGATAGAGGATTCTCCCTATCCCAAATGATAATCCTAAACCTTATCCCTACCTAATAAGGGTGAGAGCAGGATGTAAGGGTGCACAGGAGTTTGAACATTTAAGGGTTATATCTTGGAATTTGGCTAAATGCCAGGTATACCTGTGAGAAACCTGTAATTCATGGTTTGAACTTGGATGAGAAAATAGACTGGGATATAATATAAAGATCTGAACAGATGAAAAGAGGAGTGTCCGTCTTTCAGAAAGGTGGTGGATTTCTGAAAGGCGAACACTCTTCTTTTCATTTGTTCAGATCTTTATAATATATGCCAGGTCTATTTTCTCATCCAAGTATTTCAGGTGTAGCCTTAAGATAGAGGGGGTTGGTAGGATGATATTGTTATTGTGACTTTGGAGATGTCCAGAAGCACTGCTTCACCAATAACTAAATATGAGGTGTTGTTTTGTGAGCTTGCACCTGAGAAATAAGCTAAGAGGTTGTAGATGATGTTACTTTACTGACCTCTGAAACACTACAGCTTCACCCTACCTGCTCAATCTTTTCAAAAGTTAGTACTAGATTTATTTAGATTTTCAGTTCAAGCAACATTTCAACTTAAACCCCTGGGGAGGGGGAGAAACAGCTTTTGAGTTCATGGCCACCATGAAAATTACTAGCTTGTTCAATGTGATCACAGTCCATATCCACACAGATATCTGCATATAAGAGCTGGGTTTTTTTTTTTGTCTCAGAGCAAATCATATTATAGGTTACCATATTGACAAAGAACACTTCTAAAGGTTCACAAACTTCCACCATGGTACAGTGTAAAAATCATACCATGGAATTATATATAATTCTTAAAAGTTTGTAAAATATATAATTTAAATTATAACTGATTTTTAAAATAATTTGAACTATGACTTATATTAAATGCCTTTTTCTTTTCTTTGAATATATCATAGGCTGGAGTGAAAGGGACATTAGGAAGATTAGTAGGAATTTTTGAGGTAAGTACAAATATCACCAGAATTGATAAAACATTTTTATATGTAATTAAAGTTTGGAAGCATGTAGAGCTTCTGTTACGGTAGGTTAGAAGATAAATTTTCTCTGATTTGCATCCTCTTCAAAATGTGGTACCACTTGTAAATGTAGGACAAAAATGCTTGAAGACATTTTATGGTTTAACTTACTAGTAGTATCTGAATCTCCTTGATTAAGAAATCAAGACATAATTGAGCATCGCTATTGATGAGACATATTCTAAGTATATTTTCAACTCAGTGCTAAGATTAACATTGTAGCTGTCGTGTTTCTTCAAATTAACTTAGTTTATTATCCTTTCAGAACCAAGACAGGAAACACAGAACATATGTTTACGTACTTATTGTCACAGAAGTATTGGAAGATTGGGAGGATTCTGTGAATATCGGTAAGCAAGCATATTAATTTGTGTCCTTGATTCTCTTTAGGAGGATAACAGTTGAATTCCCCTATTTAGATTAAGGTTTATAAAATGTGAGTTTAAAAAAAAAATCTTATTTGGAAGATTTCTTCTGTAGTTGTTACAAAGTGTATTATATTTTTGTTGCTTATATTTTCATAAAAAATAGCACATAAATATTCACATCTTGAAAATATGTATTTTTCAAAGCTTGATAGTACATAATCAGATCCTTTTTTCAGAATCAGTTATGCACTTCTAACCTAGAGTTAACGAAACACTCTTGCAGTATACTGAGCAATATGTATGAAATAGCTATTCTTGTTATCTTCCAGTTGTTATTTTTTATTTGACCTTAACCTTCTAAGTATTAGGATAAAAATAGGTTAAGACAAAAAATAGTCATATTAAGAATTCAGTCTCTTACAAATTGCCTCATGTTTCCAAAAGTCAGAGAAATGATAAAATAGTATCTAGTACATGTGCATTTTAAGATAACAATCTTACTATACAACATCCATGATTTGGGGGAATGGCTATTTCCTAATCTTAGATTTTCCATGTTTATATCCTTGAATAACAACTACACCATCTACAATTTGCAGAACTATAACAAGTTCTCAATGTGACTCAGGTTTTCATTTTCTGTTCTATTCCACACATCCTTTTAATCATATAGTAATTTAATTTTTTACGCTTGAAAAAAATTTATTAGAAAATAAACCCTGGTTTTTTTTTTTACTTAACTGAAAACTTGTTAACTAAATTATTTCCTTCTCAGCTACTAATTATAGTAAATTACTTCAATGTATGTACAATAAACTTAACAGGTGATACAATAACACTCAGTTTTTCCTGTAATTGATTTTTGAGGAGATTGATTAGATAGGTTGGTTGTGCCAAAGTCTTCTTTGAACGTATGTTATGTCCTATATCCTTAATCTCATTTAGAATGAAGTTCATAAATGTTTAAGAATTTAGGGGTGCTTAGTATCCTGAAGATATTTTGCTCTATACAGAAGTATACCTTTATTGTGAAAAATTGAATAGGATTTTTTTTTTTGCATTTTGAAAAGAAAAACCTACTTAATGAGTTCATTATTTAGTAATAATAATCGATATACAGTTTGCTGTATACGGTTTGCTGTTGTGAAACAATTACCTAGGGAGAGGGTTGTAAATACTTTACTTGTTGTAATATAACCTTCCTCCCTCTTTCTTTATCTGCAGGAAGGAAAAGGGAATGGTTTAAGATAGATGATGCCATAAAAGTTCTGCAGTATCACAAACCTGTACAGGCTTCATACTTTGAAACCTTAAGGCAAGGCTGTTTGGCTAATAATGGCACTCCTGTTGTGACCACATCATTCTCGAAGGAGAGCACACTATCCGACATCAGATGACTGAAGACGGCCCTTTCAGAAAAGTTTGAAACATAGACTGAAACTTGGATTTCCTTTCTTCCCCTCTTCTCGCCGCTTTCACATGTGTTCTTTGGTAAACAAGACATGTGCAGCAGCCTTTGGCAGAGCAGATGTTTGAGTGTTGCATTATAGTGCAAAGTGGGTGGTTTGGGGTTTTTTGTTTTTGCTTTTTCTTGGATATGTATTTTGTAATACACATTTTGTGCATGAAGTGTCCCTTCCCTATTAACAATTTTGACAATGTGAACAGCAAGGCTATTAGTTTCATCTATGCCTTGTCTTCTGAAATGTTCTTGTATATATTATTCCAACCATAGCCAAATCTCTTATCTTTTCAGTAAAGAAGGCTACAAATGTGAGATCAATTCTTTATGTCTTAGATTTTGTACTGTAAGGTACTGTTGAGGTCTGTGTGGTGGCTACTTGCTCCACATCAGCAGGTAACATTTTTTAGAGGGAGAAATCTAACACTGATTTTGCAAGATTTTTTTTTTTAAAAAAACACAAGCTGCTTCTTTAAAGAGGGCTTCATAAACTTGCCTGCCTTGTTCTTTGAAAAAAATTCTTTACGATAGTGCTAGTGGCTGGGCCAATTTCATTCCCTGCATCCTATTCCCTGACCCAAACTTAATACAATGAGACTTGAAGGAGACTTGCAAAGCATCCCTGGTGCTCAATTCTTTCTATAGTTTCAACCAGTATGTCATGTAACAATGGACAGAATCACAAAGGATTGGTCACCATTCAAAAGCATATGGGTTCAGAAGCCTAATAAATTACAAAGTCAGTAAATAGGAATCAGGGATTTGAAATAAGTTAAAACATGTGAACTGGAACAAGAAGCACTAATGCTTTTAATAGTGTAAAATGATTTTATCTTCCTGTTGCATAATGCTGGTGTCTTTTTATGGTCCATATGCCTTACATCTTACTGAACTGGATATTGTAATTTGTGCTAAAGCATTGGATTGTACTTTGAGTGTCACCTCATGGTGGGACAGTCACTTTATGTCCCTGAAAAGAATTCCCAGGGAAAAATTCAAGTGTCCAGTCTACTTTGTCTGTAATATTGTATCATGGAGCACACTCAAAATTGTAGACTTATTGCAGCAAAGGTACAGCTAGTTCCCAAGTAGAATTGTTTATAGGAGGATCTGTGTCATTTAATAGGATAGTTAACCTGGTGCATTGGCACACATCACATTTTTGTTTCTGTTGATGTTTCATACTGTCTTGATTTGCCAATAGTGTTGTCTTGTTTTTGGAAAGGGCTGTGGGAGGGGGTGGATCTGGGTAGATTTGGGGAGGGGCATTAGTTCATCCCTGGCTTGAGACAGGACTTAGTTGCTATATTTGGTGACTACTTCTTTGTCACAGTATAGCCAAGATGTGAAATTAAACCTGCAGTACTCCAATTTAGTAGATAATTCTCCCTTCCCCTTAACATGCTTAAAATACATTTAAAATATTCTGAAATAGTCATGCAGCCCGATGAAAAGTAAATTAGTATAGTTTCTTCAATGGATAGTTGCTATAGAACCAATAATATTTCTTATTTTTTAATTCCCTACTTTCTGTTAATAGGATAGCATTCCTTAATATGGCATCACTGAAACAAAAAGTACATGCTGAAAGGTGCAGTTGAAAAAAGTGGCTTAAACTTGATCTTGAACAAATGAAAAATTATGTTATGCCACTTTATTGCCCTTCATCTTAACAAATAATAAAATTTAGCTGAGTGAGCTTGATTAATGTCTTGAAGCGTACAATACAATAATAATTTATTTTACTAAGTATATATGTGACACTATCCAGGATAGAAAATCATTGCCTTTAACTAAAGGTTTTAGGACAGAGAACTGTTTGAAAGAGAACTGAGACTCTTGATGGAGTGACTGCAGTTTTAATATCTATAGCATGCACACTTTTTTAAAACTCTAAAATGTTTTTATAGGGCTGTTAAACTGAAACTTTAGAATAGAATATTGTTGATGATATTCTAATAGTGATTTCTTGTTTGTTTGGGTCAGGAAAAATAAATTGTGCCAAGAAAGTAGTTTAATGTGGGATGAATTGATGACTGTTTATACAACTGCACTGAGTTGCTGATGTTTGCCTTCTGAACTGGAAATGGAAGATGCGTCTCTTGGGGTATAAACTGTCTGCATTATTATTGGTAAACTTCCTCCTGTTTACTGAAACTATTACACCTCCTTTTAGTGCACTATATACATAGCTTTCCCAGCATCTCAGGGTACTCTGTAGTAAACAAGCCAAGAAACTGTAGTAATACAATGAAAATGCATTATATCAACTCACTTTTTCACATTTCTAATTACACTGGAAGTTCCCAAACTGCCAGAACATACTTCAAGAAAGTGAATTTTCAAATACAGTTCATTCTAAGTAGGCAGCTTGGTCACCATACTGGACTTTAAACATCTTAATCCTTCAATGATTGCTGGATTTGTCCATTAAAATGCAGATTGTTTTGGTCTTTATTAATAAAACTCTTAACTTTACATACTGAAATTAAGAATTGCTGGCAGTGACAATAAAATCATGTGAACAGTCATTCTTTCCCTATAAAATGGTTTAGTAATTATGTTTGGCCATCAGATATTCAGGAGATTAGGTATTGTCTCCCAAAAAAATCTATTACTTAGCCATGAGTTTTATTTTTATATGTACATTTCTGGTCCTTCACAGTTTCAGAAGAGGTTCAACATTTGCAAGAATTTCTTGAACTTGCACACTTTTTGATTTAGACATTTGCTAAAACAGTGCAAGCAGTATTCTGGATTTGTAATTATATACTGACCAATAGTTAGCTATAAGTTTAAATGAGATACCAATACTCTCATTAGATGAATACTAGATGGGCTTTTGCGTTGTGTCCTAAATATCAGCCCTTAATAAGGTGGTGCACTAGTGTAGACATCATTTGGAAAAGGAACTCTGGAGCATAAATGTAGCATCTATCTGCAACTTTTAAAAGCAGTTGCATTTTCTCGTGGGATCACATGGCTGCCCTCCACAGCTACCAGGATCCTGGGGAAAGATGGGGCTACTTTAAAGAGCTGCAGACTGTTCCTATGTGCTCTGAAGCATTCTTTAAAGAGTCAAATCTAAAGCATTGTATAGCCTTACTTGCTAAATCAGGTGACGGTGCAACTTAAAATTTGTGACAGTTAATTGGAACATAATATTTAGGGAAGCATAGTTAATTGGAAACAGTAGCATTGTGAGTGAAAATGCACAACTTCTATTACAATTTCCAGTATGGGTTTTCTTTATTAGGAAGACAAAGGTTCAGACTCTGCAGTCATCATATCTAATATCCCATGCCCTAAAATACATTAGTAATTACCTAATACATTCTTCTCTGTTTTGATGTCTGTTTAGATTAGAAAGTGTATGGGATGTAGTGCTAGAATATGCAGGAGTATTTTAATATGAATTATCCTTTGAGTTTTAACCTTGAATCAGTTAGAATGTCTGAAAATGGAGTGGTGGATAAACTTTGAAGAGTTTAGCCTAAAAGTATTGCAATGATTTTAATAGCAGTTTTTCTTCCATTCAAAATATTATATTTGTTAACAGTATTCTTATTTTGTTCCTCACTCTCCAGCTGCCTCCTTTTTTTCAGTAAGCTTGTTTTTAAATCTGCCAATAAAAAATAAAGTGCCGTATTATCCTAGCTAGTGCTTATGTAGGAATATGCAATTAGATATGTTAGCTATCTAATTTGCATTTGTGAAATTGTTCAGTTTATTTTGGAGGCACTTGAATTTACATGATTCCCATATGCCAATATTTCTTTTTCTCTACCCCTCTATGTTTTGTTGATATGATAGGTAGCAACAGTATGCTGTGAAATGGATAAATGGATGGATCTCTTTTCTTCCCCATTCAGGTTTGTGCTAGATTCTTAGACATTAGCTCAGATGATGGGGAGGGAGACCTTCCATGCCTGCTTCTTTTGTGTAGCTTGCTCCCTCTGAGTATACAACTAAGAAGTATTGAAGAAAAGTGGTCTGGGGTATATGCCTATATTTAGAAGAAAATGGAGGAAGTGTTCAGAGAGAAAATTGGACTTAAAATCCAATTTTAAGAAGGGAGGGTCATTCTTACAATTGAAATTAATATTTTGAACCTCTTGAAGTTCATACTTGCAAGCTTAAAACTATAAGCCCAGCAATTACATGCAATTGCTCGTGAACAGTGAATTTCAAATTAGAGCATGTGTTAGTAAAAACTCTGGGAGTGTTTATGTGGTGGTGATTCTTGATTTGCTTGCTTCCTAATGTTAAAAGTACAATTGCTCCTGAATAGAGATAATATCAAACATTGTGCATATTTCTTAATGCTTGCTTGATTTTGTTTGTCATTATAGCTGTCCCCAGGTAGTGGGTATTGTTTTGGAAAGGGTGGGGAATTGAGAGTCAATAGTGCTGTGGGACTATTTTGCACTGGAGGAGGGGTATGTATGTATACTTCGAACCCTGTAATAAAGAAGCTGCTTTTGAGTACATTTTGCCACCTCTTGTGATAACAGATTTTATTAGAAGCTATTTGCAATGTGATTGCTTGGCATGAATGTTGAGTTCTTGTAAATGATGAAATTTAGCATTTCACACAAACATTTGAAAAGTATGTTAATGGTTATTTGAAATCATCTCCAATTTCACAATCTCTTAGAAAAGCAGTTAGCCACTGGGCATGTATCTGAAGTATCTGATACGACTTAGGAACATTATCATCAAAATAGTTTCTCCATATCAAAATTCTGGAGACATTAGTTTCTACTTTTTTCTTATCTATGTCTGAATGTAGCTATTACAAAGGCTACTTTTCAGCTGAAATACTGTATTACTGATCACATTTATAACTTTGAGGTAGTCCTGTTTCTGAAAATGCCTAGGATTGATGAAAGAAGATTGATTTCACAATCTTACAATTTTTATTTACTGTCTTGAATTGCCTTCTGTCTTGATTAAGATATACAGTAGCAATTTCAGAAATTGTCCCCAAGATGACACCCTCACACACACCCCCTCATCCCGATTCTTTCTAAGCACTAGGGCATCCTAGTGATACAAAATCAAGAAGACATGTTTGAAAGGCAATTACTTAAACTTACTTAAAAATACTGGATTACATATTCCAATGGTATGGCTCAGTTTTTATAGGGCGTGTCAAATTTTTCAACTTTCAATTTCCAAACATTAGGGAAGCTCAAAAGTTGTAACATGCCTTGGGGATTGTGAAGATAT